AAAATTTCATTTCATTGGGACTTGAATATATTGATCAAAGCTTCTTTGTTTCTTTTAATTTAATTGTTATAGATTTACTGGAAATTAAGTAGTGATTCTGATACTACCAATGATTTCACAACTGCGAGCGGTTCTGTTGTGATTCCTGATCTACAAAGGACTTCAGAAATTGTGATTTCCTTGTTGCCTGATGATATTCCTGAAATAGATGAGCATTATGAGGTGCAGCTGACTTCAGTGGAAGGAGGAGCTGATTTGGATCTGGAGAAAAGCATTTCTAGATTCATGGTGGTTGCAAATGATGACCCATATGGAGTATTTGTTCTGTATGGTGAAAAACAGTCAGTACTAGTAGAGAAAGATCTCAGCCGACATATCCAGATTAATATTTCTCGGCATGCAGGAACTTTTGCAGATGTAATTGTAGAGTACCAAATTTCATGTTCCAATGAAGAAAAAGTAGTCACACCAGCCAACAGAGTGGGAAAGCTACATGTTAAAGCAGGCTCCAGTTATGGATTGAAAACAGTGCCAATATACACCCAGGTCTGTTATTTCCCTCCCCACTGAAAGGTGCTTTTAAATCATGAGTGTGATGTTTTGTAATTGAAAGCAGTATTTTCTGAGCTGCATTTTTTATTAAGTCTTGGTTTTAATTTAGAAAAGTAGAAGATTCCCATTTTAAGGTACATGAAGTAAAATGTACAGTACTGAGTGAATGTTCCTGCACATGCAAGGTTCTTGAGAAGCTGCTGTTTGATGTTGAAAGACGTATCTCAAAAATATTATCCACAGTCCCTGACAATAATGTGTATCAAAGAAGTTGGCTAGGTTGCATTTCCTTAGCCTGTCTAGGTAATAAAGCTTAAAGAGGATCACAATATCTAGCTGTGACTATATATTTCAAAACAGTATGTTATAACAATATGATGCAGTAGAATATGACATGGTACTTACAGATTCTAAATAAATAATTTTGATAAAGTTAAAAATTGGTAGCCTTAATTTGCTGGTATTTTCCATTACTTCCATTGCTTTCTATTAACTTTGGGGGAAAAACTTGTAAAACTACATGTCTAAATAAGTCCTGCTTGAATAAAACCTTTTAAAGTCTTATTTGAATGCTTTATCTGTAGATGTTATTTTTAATTACTATGTTTTGTGATTATAATTTTCCAGGTATTTATTTCCCCTGACATGAATTTGACCTTGGAACTGATCAATGTAACCTTAGCTAATATTAGTGCCAATATTGCGCCTAAAATATTAGAGACAGCCAGGTTGGTCTGTTTTCCAATTCCCAAAGAAGCTGCCAATTCTCAGGTAACTAGATTTATAATTTCTAACAACTTAACAACCAGTGGAACACATTTTAGTTTATTAGACTTAAGTGGCTGACAGATGTTGAAAGATCTGAATAAATTATTTATACTGTATTATAAAATCTGTATTTTTTTTTTATTTCTCACTACATATTTGGGGGCAAATGTATGTTTTTTGCATCACCATTTTTCTGGGAGGATGCAAAATAGAAATCTGGTAATTCCTGGCTTACAAATTATATTAAACTTCAGGTTATTTTAACTAGGTATTATAGAAAAAGCATCTATTATACTTAATTTCTGATTGTCATTTGTTTTATATTATATTGATATATATTTGCTGGTGAATTAAAACAAATATATGTTGTACATCTTAAGCAAAGCTTAAAATGTCAAAATACAGATTTATTGCACAAACAATGCATATTTCTAATACCAATAGCAGTACTCCATATGCAATTATTCAGTGCACATGCCTATAATTTTAGTTTGGTTAAACTGTTGCCATAATTTCTAACAAAAACAGTATTTTCTTTATTTTATAGGTTGCCTTTGATTCTATTATCTTGAGACTTATAAATATTACAGCAGGAACAACTAAAGCTCTTATAACTCGTAAAGGAACATATGGCTCCATTGTAGTATCTTGGAATTCTGGATATCCACCGGGGCTTATTCCGCTGTACCTTCACCAAGGCAGTATTATACCAGCCTCTGGTAAGTGCCATCATTTTGCTATCCTTGGGGACAGTAGGACAGTTCAAACTCTTTGATAATAAAGAGAGGGTAATAAAGGAAGAAGAAGAAGAGAGAGAAAGGAAGTATGCTCAAGTTTCAAGGGAATCATTTTACCATGAACACTTTTTGTACCCTTCAATTGTTTTAAAAAATGTTAAAAAAACCCAACCCTTGATTATTCCCTATTTGAATTTGGTTTATCACTATCTTTTCTTAACCCGTTTTTTCCTTAGGAAAGTAGATAGTTAATTGTTATAATCAGGGTATACTTTATTATAGCTTATCATAACTTGATGTTGTGTAAAAGGTTTGATTTCTGGGATGTATATAGTGTAACTGCTTTATCCTTTCCTTTTAATCTGCTGCTCAACAATGAGTAAACCTGCATTATGAATCAGTGTTAAAGGGTCTTTTCCATCACTTCCTTTTGGTGCCTGTAGCATATCTATATAAATAAAAATGTAAATGTTAGTTTATTCAAAATCTTAAATCTCCGAAAGTTCTTCACCGATTGCTTTGAAATTTTGACACAACGTTGCATTTGAATACGCGCATGTTTTTATATACTATATTATATAGATGTCACACCTGTGACAGGTAAAAACATGCTTTTTTGAAAAACAGCACCATCTGTTGGACGTAAAAGCAACACACGCTACGATTTTACCATTCCATTTCAATGTTTCCGATTTACGATCCATTTACGATTTCCAAATTTCCAATTTTACGATTCCATTTCAATGTTTTCGATTGCATTGTTAAATTGAATTTTCATAGATTTCGATTTATTTTCATTTTGATTTAATTATTTCGTGTGACATTGCGTTGGAATTGATGCACAGACAATGGAACAACAAAAAATATTGTATACCCACAAGCATTGTGAAATTAAACATATTAGAAATGTGCGCTTTCTCTTTTTTTTCTTTTCCATTTAACCAGACTGAGCCACAGCAACACGTGGCCGGGTACAGCTAGTTTATTAATATAGAATATAACAAAATATAGAGACCTTCAAATAGAATGACTGTGTCAAAAGAAAGCAAAGGTAGTACCAATAGTAATAGGTGTCCAAGCACCACTTGGTCACCATCAATATTGACAGACTCATCATCAGTCAATTGCAAATGGCAGCTTTACTTGAAATAGCTCACATATTGCAACAATACCTCTAATACCATCAAACATCAACACCTGCCTATCCCAAGTCCTTGGAAAGGACTCAATAGGTGGATAAAAATGCCAAATCCATTTTGAACATCTGACTAACTATGTGACGAACCATAATTTATTAAATTTGCATGCTTCCTGACTGGCAATAGGTCATGATTTAATACTATTGCTCTTCAACATTCCAGTAGCTTTCCATCCATCTCTTTTCCCTTTTCCTTCCAGGCACAGTTATTTTTTCTCATGGTGAACAAAACAAAACAGTTTTATTGCAAGTTATTCCAAATGCAAATAGTCCTGAGGTGTTTGCTGTACATCTGGCCGCTGTGCAGAGTAATGCATCTGGTGGGGCTTGTCTAAGGTAAGAAAGCTATCACTCAAGTTGAATATTTGGTTCATGAGCAAATACAATAAGGATTCCCTACCACCACCACCCATTAATTAATTGACATTCTTTATTTCCTTCTTTCTAAGAGTTATCACATATCTGGACATATTAATAATTATGGAACCAAAATACACAATGACTAAACTTATGAACTGGTATCTTCACACATTTCTAAAATTGCTTCTTCAGTCTGAGCAAAGTCTCAGATGGACCCAATATACTAAATGGATATGTCTATTGAAAATGAGTTAAAACTGTCCTGCCTTTATTTTCCCACATTCAAATGTCATATATTTGTTTTTATTTCAGATCAGATTTCATTATTGCTGAGATTGAGCCAATGGGAGTCTTTCAATTTTCTCCTAGCTCAAGGAACATTTTAGTGAGGGAAGATGTGCAAACAGTCAAATTAAATGTACAAAGACTTTTTGGCTACCAAAGCAACCTCACAACAGTGTTCTATCAGACCACTGCAGGAAGTGCCAAATCACTAGAAGACTTTGAACCTGCTCATGATGTAGAACTTATTTTTGGATTCCTTGACACTAACATGGTATTGGAAATCTTGGTAATTGATGACAGCATTTCAGAGGGGGAAGAATTTTTTTTTGTGAATTTAACATCTGTGAATGTTTTAGATGTTCAGGACCTTAATCCAGCTTGGAATCCACGTCTGAATCCAGAATTTAGCATTGCATCAGTTACTCTATTGGCCAGTGATATCCATTATGGAATTTTAAGTCTTGGACCAACTATTATTTACACTGAAGAAGACAGCAATAACATTGCTTCCAACACTATTCTAATTCATATCAGAAGGTCTCAGGGATCTGTGGGAAATGTCTCTGTAAATATAAAAACGTTTGGTGCAACAAATGCTCAAAGCGGAGCAGATACATTTCCTTTTGAAATTGTCCCTGTGGTTTCTAATCTTACCTGGGCAATCGAAGGGGCAGACTTTGAAGAGATGGCTCTGTCTGTCACGTTATTGGATGGAGAACGTGAAAGAGAAGTATCTATCAAAATTCTTGATGACGACGAACCTGAAGGGGAAGAATTTTTTTATGTTGTTCTTTCTGAACCTCAAGATGGAGCTCAGATTACAGAAAGCATGGATGAATATGGATTTAAAGGTTTTACCACAATAATTATCAAAGGTAGACATATTTATGTTGTTTTAGTATATAAGCAAAATGCTAAGAGGAAAGAGAGTTTCCTTATAAAGTAAAATGGTATTGCTATGGAAATAATAACTCTAAGTAAAAAAAACCCAAGTCGGTGTGTATTTCAGAGTTCGTAATATAAATTATATGCATTCTCTCAGTTATTTGGACCATCATTTTCCAAGTACATGTGACTAAAGAGGAAGAGAATTCCTGATAAATTTCTTGCCTTTGACAATATAGATTTAAAATGGAAACAGTGGTATTTGCATGTTTTATTGTTGGATGTACTAATAATTGAGGGGAAGGGATTATGATGATAACAGTGTAGAATTCATATAAAGGATCTGTTGAAAAGATCAAATTTATCAGATCAGTTTCATGTACTGGATAATATAAACGAGACTTTTCAAACGGAAAGTAAGGGCAAATAAGGACAAGTTCATTAAGGAATATGGATCTGAAGTTGATAACTAAGCATTTTCTTTGGGTTTTAAATTCAGTTCAAATGATAAAAGCATATATATATATGCTATTGCATATTAGAAGCTTTGTATTCTAGTAAATCTTGAGAACTGCTGCAGTGATGCTGAATGACACTTATATTCTCTTATATTAGCAACATGAAATACTGTTCTACTTATCTCTCCTTGTGTGAGGGATTCAATTCATAAAGGTTATGTCTGAACAGAGATTTTAGATATCAGTTACCTTTTTTTAATAGACTGGTGTAATTTCTATGAATTAGCTAGCATCTGAGTTCGTCCTGGAAGATAATAAAAGTTCACTTAAACGTGTTACATATAAGATCAGAAATGCAGGCTTTCTATCAAAAATTATGTTTTTTTAAAGCAAGAAATTTAGCAGAGACTTAAATAAATCTTTATGAATCAATTACTGTCAGAAGCATCTGCAGATTCTCATATTTGTCAAAATAATGAAAGAAGCACCACAGTGCAAGCTCCACATCTTTGTGACACATGTGTGACACATGACAACATGGATGGAAAAGTTGCAGGACTTGCACTGTTATTCCTTAATGCTGCTTGATCATCTCTCCTTACCCAGGAAAGGATTCTGATGGTTACCATTTTTGTTAAGGTTGTAACTGCCTAAGCCAATAATTTGTGAGCCATGTACTGTAGCTCTTGCTAAAATAGCAAAGCAGACAATGGAAAAGCATTTCAAATTGTTGGTAGGAAAATAACACAAGCACCACTTAAAGAAGACTATATGTTTCTTACTGATATATTTCCAAAAACTGGTAAAGGAGCCCTTTTATTGTCCCTAGTGCCTTATATTAATATTCTATGTTATGAAGATACCCAGTTGCTTTAAAATAACTGATGTTTCAATAAGCAAATGCCATTATGTCTGTTTAGTGATTATCATATCAACAATATTTCATCCTACTGTATCTTAAAACTCACTGAAGTATACTTAATGTTTTAATTCTGGTAGTGTTAAATAGCCCATTATTTTATATAAAAATACAGTTCCTCCATTTATATTGTAATAGCTATTCATTCCAGGTGATCTCGTGTAATTATCTCATTTTGAGAAATAATTTTTAAGGAATTGTACAACATAATAATTTACTTGCTTTTTGATACTTTGGAATGATCTATTTCCCATTTAGGAAATGATCTTCAGAATGGAATACTGGGATTCAGTGAAGAAACCCAACATGGTCTTGTGCTTGATGAAGATTCAGAAAAGAGGAAAGTGGAACTCTTTGTCATCCGACAGCCAAACAGGTGCAGGCAGCAGCTATCTTCATATACTGTAATGCGTTGTGTTAAATCAAGGATTATAATTGTAAGCAGGATAGGTTGTGATTGAATCTTAATATGAAGCCTAGACATTTAGAAGTCCCAGAAGTTTACTGCAAACTGGAAAATTGCTTCATAAATTTAGAATACAAGTCAATCAGTATATCAGAACTGAATAAAAATGAGAGAATTAAATTCACCCTAATTCATACACATAATAGCTGACAGGTTAAATTAATTTCTTTGCAATGTGCACATATTTACTCTTTGGTGCTTTCTTCAGGAAATTAATAATGTCCTTTTTTTATATTTTTAAGTGCTGATCATATAATCCTTTGTATTATAGTGGTAAAATCAAAAGCAGCCCACTACTATATCAGGTCATTCATGTTATTATGAAAAATTTGATTTGAGCAGTCTTTTCTAAACAAGATTTGAGATTTAGATCTTAATGTTAAAAAAAATGGACTGTCACTTTTAAAATTATTGTTTCTATTTACCCTAACAATTTATGCATGAGACGTGTGTGTGCTCACCTTACCCTTTCTGGCCCATGCTATGCTTCTCATGCATCTGCAAGCACACTCTTGCCCCCTTGCAGAGTCCACTTAGCAACATCCAATTTATTTGCTTGCTGGTCTGAGACTTACAATTTCCCACTGGCTTCCCCATTAACTTGTTGTGGAAGTCGCAAGAAGTTGCCATGCCTAATGATTATGGGATTCACTTAATGATGGCAACCTGGATTGTAGGGATTGCCATTGCTAAATGATGTGGTTGTGCTTTATGACTTAACAATGGAAATAACAGGGTAAACATTGTTCATTTTTATAAAACACAATTTTGCTATGGTAAGCAAAAGAACAAAATGAATGTGAGGGTAAAGATTTTTTTTATGTCTATCTGCATCAATGCAGTGATTTTGGTTTGCTTTGTTAATAGGGCTTTTGAAGATGTGAAAGTGTCTTGGCGTGTGACTTTTAATCAAACATCAGTTGTCCTGCAGAATAATGGCACCAATCTGGCAAATGAACTGATAGCTGTTACAGGGGTTACTACTTGTAATGCTGGCCAAATACAGTGCATAGTTTCTATTGAGATTCAGTCTGATAATGTGAGTACTTATAATGAATTAGTCATCTCTCCTAACTACTTTTCCACAAATATACTAAAATGTGTGAAATAATGAGAAGCTGGAGAATATTCCTTGTTTTCATTATCATATTATCTGAGCTATTGGCTGAGAAGCAGTAAACTTTTTTATTTAGGAAAGAATCCTCTATATTGGATCTTCTCTTTTGTAATCTATGTGAGATCCCAGCAGTGGGAATCTGTCCACTAATCAGGTTTTGTGCAGAACATTGGAAAATTGTAGGATTTTAGACATTGTACTGATACTTGTTCCTTTTTAAGTAGCATTTATATTCCAAAGATCAATAATTTTTAGAACTAACTATAGATAGCACAAAAGAGATTTAAAAAAAAATTCTTTCACAAATTTGAAGAGAGCAAATTTTCTAATTTTTCTATGTACTTAGAAAAAAATATGAAAAGTTATCAATTGTACTTGAAACAAGTTTGAAAAAAATTAAATTAATTAATATTTTTCCCCATTGAAGAGTTCATTTATGCATGTGTACTTTCCCAGAATAGCTTTTAATGATTCACAAACAAATTATATGAATGACAGCAGGATTTCTATCCAGATTCCTAGTAACAGTTGTTTTTATAAGGCCAAACACATAGTCCTATGATTTGGAAAGCTCGCTGCACAAAATATAGCAAAATTATACTAGGGAACATTTTTTTTAAATTATATATTTCCTTTAATTGGAAAATGTGCAGTCCTTTGATTGTCTGTTTTGATTATCAGGTGGCTGAATCTGAGATCTGCTTTTTTGCTGAACTCTATGACGTGGGGGAAGGAGCAGCTTTAAACGAGAGTGCCAGATTTGCACACATTATAATTCCGGAGAGTGATTCTGTGCAGAAGGATCTCATCTACTTTGCTGTGGGGTCTCGTCTAGCTGTGGCCCATATGAAAGCCACTTCAATTCGACTCCAAGTGGTTAGAGATTCTGGTACAGCATTTGCTATCTCAGTTGACTACAGAACTCAGGTAAGACAGACACATGAGTATACCTTGCAGTACCGTATTTTCCGGCGTATAAGACGACTTTCTAAACCCTGAAAATCTTCTCAAAAGTTGGGGGTCGTCTTATACGCCCAGTCGTCTTATACGCCGGAAAATACGGTATATCTGGATGTCATCTGATGAAATAAACTGCAGCTGCGGCTCGCAATAACTAATGCCTTTTTAATAAAATTCCAATTTTAGACTTCCATTTTTTCACAAGAGTATATATTTGGTGATGCCCTTATTTCTTCTCTAATTAAAAAAAAATCTCTCATACAAAGTATTTTCATATTTATTCTTTGTTGAATAGTTGCAAATTAGAATAGTGGTTTGTAATCGCCTGATAACTTTTTCTCTTCCTAAATGTTAGATAGATATTTTGCTCTGAAACAAGTCAAGGGTATATTTATTTAATAAATGTTTGCCTAAAGCAGGGGTAGTCAACCTTGGCTCTTTTATGACTCGTGGACTTCAACTCCCAGAATTCCTGAGCCAGCTGGCTCAGGAATTCTGGGAGTTGAAGTCCACGAGTCATAAAAGAGCCAAGGTTGACTACCCCTGGCCTAAAGGCTAGTTTACCTCTTTTATTCATAGGGAAAAATAGTGCCCATTTGAAATTCCAGAAATTACAATTGAAATCAGTAAGCTGTAGATTGCATCCAACAATGGCAGTTCTTTGAAAACTTGGTGCACATATAGTTGTTTGGATTTAGGAGAAGTGGTTTCAAAACCTTCCAGCAAAATTACTAATTTAATTTATAAAATAGTCATTCTCTTATGGCCCTAGATGACTGAAGATGTCTTATGAGTGAACAACAAAAATTGAAAAATAATTATGAACTGGAATTGAATGAAAAAAATAATTGCAAAGTTATTTTGTTCAGAATAAGTAAGGACATTTGTCACAGTGGGTCAACTCCCTCTTTCTGAATTAGGAAGTTGCAAAAACCCTCTAGCATGGTACCAAATAGATGCAGAAAAATTGCTGTCATCTGATGGTTGTCCGTTTTTGTGCAGCTAGGTATGGTAGCTAATTCATTTTGGATTTCCATGATGGATTTTCCAGGTGACAATGTAAAACAGAATTAGAGTTTGTTAAAAGCCTATATTTTTCCTTTCTTATTTTAATTGAAGTTACTCTATCTTTGATTATTGAACTAATCATTGGTCCTTTGTGAATTAACTGCTTTTTGCTTTTGCCAGTTCCACCACCCAAATGGAAGAGGTGGTGTCTCATTTAAAATATCCAGGAGATTTTTTTTTCTAGCTTCCTTGCTAATTCATCACTGTAAAACTTTTAGCCAAGGATTAGGTTAGCAGTGTTGTTTAACTGAAACCTGGGATATAGATTGAAAATTGACAAGCCAGTACAGGTTTTAGGTGGTTTATTTTTTTTATACCCTGATATTCCTAAAAATTATTCTAGTACTGAGAAAGAACTAAATCTGGATTCAAATAAAATATAAAAATGCTGTGATACTGAAACTCACAAACAATAGAATGGTTAGAAAACATTATATTACTTGGGCACTTTCTGGAATTCATTTCTTTTAAGCATTCCTGTGTTATGCTAAATCTCTTTATACTTACCAAAATCAGGGACATCTATACCAAAATGCAGATAATCAGTTAAAGAGGTAAGGTGCCCATTCAGCAAGGTACCTCTCCCTACATCTTTCTATATGTTGCAGTAGTATTTTGGTATGTTATCTTCCATCATTATCATTTCAAGGCCTTTTTTATTTTGTTATCGCAATTAGTCCTCTAAGTGTTAGGCTTTCTCCTTCAGTCTGATCTTGACTCTCAGATCTTTGTAGATAGCATTAGTTATTAACCTGACACTTCAAGTGGTGTTTTCTTCCATTTTATCTGTATTTCATATAGCCATTAATAGAGCCAGTGTGGATACTTGACATAGTGATCAGACCATATAATTTCAAGGTCCTTGTGTCTTTTTTGTCAAGAATTGAAAGAGTTGTCATTTTAATAAACTGCAGAGAGAAATTGTATTAATACCCCTGCATTTTCCTCTTCACACTGCATAACCCTAGTGGCAATTCTATGGCAAGTGTGTTGCTTTTTCTGTATTCCTCTTTGGAGATACACTGTCACTAGGATTAAATCTGGAGCTTTTCTGGCTGAACATTGGTAATTAAATATAGCTGTCTACATCTAGATAGGTAAAGTATTCAAGATTTTTATTAGAGTTAATACATTATTCTACATATGTTAAATACAGGCTTTTGCCACAGAAAACCACCTTCCATGGTATCCCACAGAGAAAGAACCAAACAAAAAGATAAATAATCTGTGGCTTGCAATCTTTGCAAGATGAGCTTATTGAAGGCTTTAGATTTAATCATTCATAATGCCAGAGCACAAAATTAAGTAACTTCAGTATGTAGAGGACAAGAATATATAGTACATAATTCAGCTGAGTTTATATATACATAAATTCAGCTGAATTATGTGCTTTCTCCTCTTATCCCCTCTTATCTCCTGGCCAGTTGTTCTTGATGATTATAAGTTAATAACTATTATACTATTATAACGTATTACAAACTATATTTTTACCTAGGTGCATGTGCACTACAAATATGCCAACTGAACATAAGCATGTAGGGTCTTTTGACACTGAAGCATGAATATGTAATGGAAATCTTAGGGTGTAGATATAGGTTGACTCTGCTTAGTTGCTGCAGGGTGAGGTGCCATTCTGAGTTGGTAAATGACCTCCATGTTGCTAATTCAGGAAATTTCCCTTGATCACTATTGGGCAAGTGACTAGCTGCTGAGTAGCTAGTAATACCCTATGATAATACAGATAGATGATAAACTGGTGAAAAATAACAACTGTGTATGTTTATAAAATATGGTTCCAGCTTTCTTTTGCTCAAGTCCTGCCTACTGAAGGACAGATAATTTAAAAATACAGTCATATCATCTAGGTATCAAATTCAGTCTTCATCTCTTGCCTGCCCAAAATGATGCCTAAAGCAGTTTATTTTAGGCATCACTTTCTCCTTGGAATTAATACTGTTCTGTTAGTGAAACCACAGGGGTACCTAGTTCTTAAATCATTTTACCAACCATTGTGGACAATTTAAAATTTTGAAAATTCTCTTACTTGATGATACAGCATTTTTTTGCCAGAATAGATCTGGGCTAAATATATGGGATTCTAGAACACAATGTTACAGAGTCTCTATCACTTACTGGAGTCTTTAGAAATGTTGATAGTTTGAAGCAAATTTGTTCTGACAAATTGCAACATAATTAATTTTTTACCTAGACATTTATTTCCTGATTTCCAGGAGCTGTTGAGACCTGAACCTTTTGGTCGTGTAATCATATCTCCTGCCATTTCCGGACAAGATTTTATTGCATCTGAAGGAACATTGTCTTTTGAATCTGGACAGAGAAGTGCTCTACTAAGTATAGTACTCATCCCAAAGAGTGGATATCTGAATTTATTTCCTAAGCGCTTCCACGTTATGCTGTTCAATCCTATAGGTGGTGGCAGAATTGATAGCATCTATGGTATTGCCAACATCACCGTTGTCTCTGATTCAAACTCCCAAGCAATCTGGAGTCTGACTGATCAGTTGTTTCAACCACTTGATGATATTATTTTGAATCCAATCCTCCAGCATTTAAATATCCAAGTAGTCACAGAAAATACAGAAGAGCAACTTGCTGCTGTGATGTATATCATAGATAAGGTCCATATCTTGTTCTCCCTTCTGCAATAATTAAATAATTTCTTAGAATTATTTAATAATTTCTTAGAATTAGGAAATCTTAATCTCATTTTTTTTCTTTGAGAAATGAAGCCAGAATGGTAAAAGTTTTGACCCAATGATTGTTTTGTTTCTAAAAATAGAAATTGTCTGCATTATTGTATATAGGATCCATAAGCAGTATTTGCTTACTTAGATGAAAGTTGCTCATCCAAATGAGTAACTGAACTGAAGTGGAATGAGCAGATGATATACAATGTCAGTGTTAAATTCCAATACATTGATCATGACATAAACTATCTTCACTATGTATTCAAAATTAGTCCTCCATGAAGTTTTAGATATGGCTATTATGTAGGGGAAGAGCTCTATTGAAATCAATGTCAGTTACTCTCAGTGTTTATTAAGGATGCTTTTATTTTATGTTTGAAATGCTAAATTCATCAATTATTCCAGTATAAAAGAATCAAAACATTTTAAACACTGAACACTTTTTAAAAAATTTGCTTCTCAAGGTAATATCTGAAGGAGAAATACAGGCACTCACTGATCAAAACAGAAATCTTTTGTATGAAATCCTCTGTGCACTAGCTAATCCCAAACGTAAGGATACTCGAGGCTATAGCTTCCTTGCCGATATTACTGAGAAATTTGCTTTTTCTCTACCTGTTGGTGAAAAGTGTGGCTCACAGGGTGAAAGGTATGGCATTTTCTACATATATACTGAGTTCATAGTAAAGTGATAGGTTAAAGATTAGTTGCAGGTCTGTGTATGTATCTTGGTATGCAAATAAGCAAATTGTTCAATATATCTAATATCCTATGAAGTGAATCCTTTAGCACTCAAGATCAGGATCACTTTTTTTTTACACTTAAGTGTTGAACTAAAGTCTGAAGATAATACTAATAAATTAATATTTGATATATTATTCATTTTATTGCCAGTGAGCCAATACATTAATAATATGAGCAGCCATGAGCATCTACTTCACATTTTTCCTTGCAGATAGTAATTTTCTGATTACTTAGCTTGTTGTTACTGTTCTTGTTTAACAGAGGTAAAACCATCCTTGACCATTGCCCTTATATTGTAATTACATCCCATCACTGGTATCCACAACAAATCAATGGGCATAGATTTGATGGAAAAGATGGGGATTTCATTAGAGTTCCTGACCACTTATTGGAAGTTTCTGCTTCATCCCATTCTAATGATGCAACCTGTAGGTTCATTCAAGTCACTGAATACAGTAGCCAACAATGGTTTACAGCAGATGGTAGAGGAATTGCCCTAAAAAATAAGGTAATCTGTTAAACTATGTATTAGATCAATATCCTGTGAGTTTTGTTTAATTAGAAATGTCAAAGTTCCTTATGTGGTTGTTCCAATCATCTTACATCCAAGTACTCATTTTTTTAATTTTACTACTCTTATAAAATGGGATTGCTTTTGTTTCATTTATGACATATTGGATTTAAAAATATTTTAATGTAATTTCATCTGAATCAGCAGCCATATTAGTAGCATCCTTCTGTTTTCTAACTTGAATGGCTTCTCATATGGTAGTTCATAACATCAAGTACATAGAAAGTAGTAGGAATATTTGCTTATAGTTGGTAAAAAATATGACTTGTGTAGAATACCAAAGAAAACTGTTGCTAGATGAACATTATTCTCAAAGAAAAGATTGAGCATGCATCTTTTTAATCCTGCTATACCTTGATTCTCATTATTTGTATAATGGCTTTTCACTGTCTCGTTGCCTGTGATAGCATTCTGGGCCTATCTTAGTGTTGCAAGAGAATCTGCTGCCAGAATCTGTAAGGCAGTTTCACAGATGATTAGAGAGCCATTTCTTTCTACTGACCTAGCTATCAGTTTTTACAACCTCAACTGCTCTGTCAGAGACACATTTATGAACCTTACGTAAGATAAGATGAAAACTATTATTGAGAAAACGCTAGATTCTGATTTTGAGTTCCATGAGCAACTCTGAGTGATTGTGTGGATTTTTAATGAGACATGTACATGAGCATCCATTGACTATCTTAAAACATTTTACTGGGAAAAAATTAATTGATTTGTACAATTTAGGATGATGCAGTGCTGCAGATTCAAAGGAAAATATGTGATTCAGAACACCTGTGGGAATGCACCTGTCAGGAACACCTTAAAACATCTGTGTTTTCTGGGTTTGCATAACTGACCTCTGCAGCTGTCATACTATTCTAAGAAAAGACACGTTTGATTTAAGGTGTTTTTGATAAATGCCATATGGATGTCATCCATATCTTGAAACACATTCCTTCCTTGGAATCCAAAGTGCTATCCAGCCTTAACAGAATTACTTTCATGCTTCTTATTTCGGGGAGAATCCATGTAGAAATGTATGTACATAATTATAACAACAAAAACTTCTATGAATGTAAAAGGATGCAATCAACAGTTGGACTATTGCAAGTTTTTATACGAGACTACCCTTGAAAACCCTTTGGAAGCTGCATCTGATTAAGCATGTGGCAGCTTGGATTGTTATGGCATACCAAAGTTCACTTATCTAACATCTGCATGGCTACAGCTGTGTTGGCTATCAGTTTCCAAACATAATTCAAGGTGCTTTTCAAAAACCATAGATAGCTTAGAGCCTCAGGACCTGCCTGCTGCAAGGGGAATCACCTTATCTACCGGTAGTAAGATCAGGGAGAAGAAGGTACATTAAAGAAATGGCATCTTCAGGGACTTCATTCTCAAGTCTTCTCAGTGATGACCCTCTTCACAGGACTGTTCCATCTCTGTTAATTTCAAAGAGCATTAAACATAGCTCTTCTGGAGATAAATAGACTAGATGAAATATTGACTGCCTACAACGTGTGAATTCTTTTTATTGTTTTTGGAAGAATTTTTCTTAGGTTTTTGCTATTTTTTTGTTATTTCTAAATTTTAAACCTTATGAATTTAAAGAGGTGGTAAGCTGCCCAGAATCTTAGTAAATAAATAGTTTAAATTATACGATTTTACACATGCTTAATTTATATATCTCTTAAGATTCTGAAGATTGCATTCTTAAAATGAACTAATAATATTAAAGACAACTGGTTCTGTAATATGGCATCCATAAGATAAGGGTTCAAATCTTCTTGACATATTGTCTGAGATGGAATTGGGGCCTGTTTTTTTAGAAAGCAGATCCATCTCTTCAGAAAAGCAAATCTTTGCATTATGAAGTTATAGTCACTGTATCTTTGGAAGGATAAAGGGGAAGTATTTCAAACTGATACCTAATAGTGATTTGTAATCTTTTAAAAGGTGTTACTGCTTGAAATAAGATAGATTTGAATATTTAGTGCAAAATAATAATCAAGAATCAAGAATCATGAATGCCTATCTTTCCCATTTCAGGTTTTTTCAATGAGCGTGAAGGGACAGAGTCCAGTTCAGCTAAAAGATAATAATCAGGTCATCTATCGGATTTATTCAACAGACAGTCATATAATTCCTCATAAGTCTTTGTGTCTTCTTTGGAATCAGATTGCTGAAAGGTATATTTCTAATTCTTTGTGTGCTTGTCAATCACACAAACACATACATATATTAGTTATATGCTGCTATGTGGATGTAAAGTGAAAGAGGGTGTTTCATAGAGGATGTGAGTGTACTCAGTGCATCTGTTGGTACTTCTTTAAAGAAACTGTGCCTTTTCCTGGGCTCATACAATTCTCAGAGTTCCAAGAACATATGGGGGTGCTGACATGGTGAAACAAGTTTATTGGAACCTATAATGCCTTCTCCTTAATGTGTTCCAGGTCTTGAACAAGTGCCTTCTACATGGCTACTATATAAATTCAGGGAAAGGTGGAATTTCATTAACAAGACACAATCAGGTTTCTGCTTTGGTCTGAAAATGTACACATAGACATGTAATGGTTCCTGTACATAGTGGTTTATATACTTTTTAAATCCTGATCAAGATTTGACATGTTAACCCAGTTAAATTCCATATGTTTGAGTTAATCTGTGAGGCATTGGTTGATAACCTTCTGAGAAAATCTGTTTTAGACTCAGGTCTCAGAAGTCTCCTACACCCTTATGAAATTATGCTTTCCCGTAAAGTTTGGCATCGATCTGATTAAATTCTAAACTTGTCTTGACTTTATAATCCTTGTGGCCAATCATGCATTATTCTAGCTAATAAATTCCACAACACAAGGAACTATATTCTGGTTTACAAAAGCATTTTGGTTCTGTTATAGATCAACACAATTCTTATAATGTTTGTTTACATTTTTGACATTATTGATCAAGTTGAGAAATAACAAATTAACTGCCAATATTTGTTTCTTCTATAGTTGGCTGTCTAATACTCAATTCTGTAAGCTGATGGAAGATTCCTCCGATTACGTGGAATGCTCTTGTTCACACATGTCAGTTTATGCAGCTAGGGCACAGACAGACAGCTTCTCTTCTTACAATGAAGCTTTCTTTTCTTCTGGTTTCATCTGTATTTCTGGTCAGTTATGTTACAGTATTGTTGATTTCTGTATGGATTTAAAAAGATAATATCGGAAGTTCTTTTAGAAAATCACTGTGTAAGTAAGGAATATAAGAAAAGTTTAGAGAGCTATTTTAGACATGCACAGTGAAGATGCTGACCCACATTTTTTACTCCAATTTCTTTTTGCTTTTAAAAGATGATAGAGAATGGACTCCTATGATTCCAACTCTTCCTTGGATCTTTCAAAATAATTGTGTGATTGTTTGAAACCTCACCAAAATAAATTGTATTTAATGATAATATCCTCAAAGAAGACCTTAAGAGAAAATGCAAATAAAAGAATTTATGCTTCCTTTGGTTATTAGTCAAAAAAGTCTCAGTTGATATACTTTATTCCAGCTAATTAGAATTCACTTCTTTCTAAGTAGTTAAAAGTGGATAACTTTTGCCCAAAGATTACTGCTCAAATTTCTAATTTTATTTCTATACACTTAGGGCAAATTCACACATTATATTTTAGTTAGGGTATTTAATATTTAGATGTTTATTTAAGATAATTATATTTGACAAATGTAATATATCCTAGAAGGATAATAGTACAAAAGCGATTGAAATTCATAAAAAATTGGAATTTGTTTAGTTATCTTACCATTGTTCTTCCAGAAGTAGCCAAATAGCTTATTAAATTAAATAGTTCTGTGTTATATAGTTACTTCAATATATAGTCCTACAGGTTATGAATTCCAGAAGAGAAATTTTCTATAAGGTATTTGTGATTGCAATAAAAGTACTTAGAAACAGGAGAAGTCAAGAACATTCACCGAGCTGCAATTGGTGGCAGAAATGATTAACATTACAGTTTTGCAACTTAAACTCTGCCTTTTTTATGCTTGTATTGTGACATTGCTTTGTGGCATTATGACCTTCTATTGTATATCATGACCTCAGGTTGTTACCATTTGGACAAAACCTTGTCTTGCTGTGCATACCTTGGTCTGCAATTTATGAAATGATCTGAATCATTTGGCTAATTGAGTAATTGAATTCTACTTTTATTTGGTTAAAACAGGCTTCATCTTGGCTATATTTTCATATTTCTTATGTACCAGAACATCAATGTTTGCTGCTAAACTCCTCACTCATATGATGGTTGCCTGCTTGGGTACTCAGGTAGGAACATGTTTAATTTAATATAAAGCTCTCTATAGCCATATTATCCCATGTCCTAGTTTATACCCAGTTTCATCCTATATACAGAACAATAGAGTAAGAAGGGACCTTGGAGGTCTTCTAGTCCAACCCCCTGCTCAAGCAGGAGACCCTATGCCATTCCAGACAAATGGCTGTTCAATCACTTCTTAAAAACCTTCAGTGATGGAACACCCGCAACTTCTGGAGGCAAGCCTTTCCGCTGGTTAACTGTTCTCACTGTCTTGGTTCTAGGTTGCTTCTCTTCTTCAAAGTTTCCATCAGTTACTACTTCTGCCCTCAGGTGCTTTGGAGAAGAGGTTTTCCGGTGGGATAGAATAATCTGCAGATAGAATAATCTGCAGAATAAGAGCTGAGGGGTTCCTCTTATCTCAGGAACAAGGAACATCAATATAGAAGTGGAGAATTAATAACAATTAGATAAATTTTAGATAATTTGTCAGCCATATGATATAGACCAGATTAAGAAGCAGACACCATACCATTTTTATTAGAACAGCTACAGTATAGTAACAGAATCACAGAAAGTCTGAATGTGCTTTCCTATCCTCCTCTCCTATCTTCATGAGAATTAATGTGGTGGGAAGGGGAAACAGTCTGAGGTTTTTGTAAACTACTTTCTTGGCCTGGACTCAAGCCTCATTTATCTAAATGTTGTCTTGGAAATTGATCTTCCCTCTGTCCTTCAAGGCCATCATCTTTATTCACTACAAATAGTGAATACAGATCTCTGGTTTTTTCTGACATTATATCTAACATGTTCACTTGTCAGGGACTTGCATTTGATGGGTCTCGGGGGGAGGCTCTCTGCTGTGGCACTTGCCCTATGAAATGTTCTCTTCCTAAAACTCAGGTTAGCTCCATCCTTGCTATCATTCAGGGAGGCCCACAAGACCTGGTTATATCACCAGTCCTGGGGTTCTGAGGAAACCACAGATACTTTATATTCTCTTCCTGTGTATTTTTATAGTATTTTTCAGTTTTATTTATTTTTATATTTTATAATACTTTTTAATATGTTTGCTGTTTTGTTGATTATTGTATTCCACTCAGAGTCATTTTTGTGACATAGGAGACCATATAAATGTGATTAATAAATAAATAGTGTAAAGACCATCTCTCTCTCTCTCTGTCTGTCTATATACTGTATATATATATGTGTGTGTGTGTGTGTGTGTGTATAAATTCGTTATGTAAATAGAACACCTCTCATCTACATATTTCAAAAATGAATTTGCCCTTGATCAGTTTCTAGAGGTAAATGCAATTGCTTGTTGAATTCACATTTTCAAATGTTTAAAACAGCAACATTTTTTACAAATGTGCTCATGCTCAGTGATATTCACTTGCAAAAAGCAAGGAGAAACCATAGGAACAATATCTTTCTAATCAGAAGGAGAATGAGAAGTTGATGCATGTGCTGTATACCTTTGAACATACCACAAACATTTTCATTTTGTGTCAAAAGTGCGATTTAAAGTGCCATTTCTGAAATTCTTCAGGCTCAGTACAATTATTTCCTTACTTAGATAGGTTACATAGATATTAGCTATCAAAACCAGCAGGTGGCAGTGAAATCTTTCCCCTGGTGTATTAGAAATCTATTTTCCTAGTTAAATGTTTGATTGAGGCAATAGACAAAATACTACTTTACAAAGGCTTAGTTGTTCCTTGAGATTATGTAAATTGGTTAAATTGCCCAAAACTTGAGCTATAGGACTATATGTTTTTTGTACATATTGATTTGATTGTGGATGAACAAAGGCTAATATTTCATAGATTATAAATTCTCCTTTATTTGAATTCTAATGTGGATAAATTTTTGTGTCCTCTATATGCTCCTTCAAGCTTACATACTTAACAGAAGATGGTTTAAAATAGCTTAGTAAGCTCATCAACTTCATTTTCTAATTTTGAGTTATTAACATTATATGAATATCATCTGAAATAAACAGCTCTGTTTATTTATTATTTTTACCATAATGCTCCATTTGTTTACAAACAGTTTTGGAGCTGTTGTCATGCAAAAGCGTGTCACTTGTAAAAATGGTTTTCTATAAAGGGCATGGAAGAAGCATGAAAATAATGCAAGATAATTCAATACACCTGCCTGAGTTTGTTTGTTTCCATCTACCCACCCTCCATCTGTTTTATGTTGGATTTATCTATTTATTTATTCTTCAAATTTCTGCAGCTATCCATTTCACAAAACAAATGACTCTGGGCAGCATGCAACAAAATAAAAAAAATGTAAATAATTACAATCATTATTATTTAAAACATTAAAAACTAAAAGCAAAGCTAAAAAATAATGGGTGATGTCAATAATTTTTAGACGGCTAAATTAAATGATAAGAAAAACTATAAGAAAACCTAATGGAGAACAACTGTTTAGCATTTCTATTGCCCAGTTGGTTACCAGATATAATGGTTTGTGAGAATACATTTGAGAGACAGGAAGAAGAGCCATAGCCTATACAACAGTCTGAGAAGAGAAATCCAAATCCAATGGAGGGATGGGGTGGAGAAAGCAGAATTGACCCTCCCTATTTCTCTAGAAACTAAAGGTAGGGAGGGAGACATACTTTCAGACTTATAAGGTTCTATACAATATAGTTTTCATGGTTTTGGTCTCTTGTTTGGATTACCTCAAAGGGCTGACATCATCTGACATGGCAGACATGAGAATGGAGGGATGTTTGCATCATCTGTCTTCTTCTGTGTTATTTTTCAAAAACTGCAAAGGGAAGGAATATATTTAGAGATTTTCTTGTTTATTTAACTGTTTTTCAAATCTGAAGCTGGCACAGAGATGTGCGAATGTTGAGACTTTGGGGGAGTGGATCCCAGTATTTTTCATCCCATTGCTTCTACCACCATACCATACCAGTTTTTTTGGTCTGTACAATATTAAGATTTTCAAGTCTCAGCAAATGTTATCGATGGAAGTTGGCAAGTTAATGGGCAAAAGGATGGGAGAGGTTCAAAGTCTCATTTCCTGCTTATAGTAACCTGAGTTTATTAAGTAATTATTACACAGAATGCAAAGACACAATAAAGAAACAAACAAGGAGAACACTTATTGAATGTTGAAAAGTCTGAACATTTTGTTACAACAGGATATTATGCGGCATTTACATAACACCTTATTTTCAGCCAATTTTTAATACATCTTTCTATCCTACCGAGAAAGAGTATGAAATGTAAACATCCTGAACTTAGTTCCTGTGAAGGATTTCTACTGTGAGGTTTTTGTTTTATTTCTTTTTTGCCTTTTTGAAAGGGGCACTTTGTCTCTTCAACAGAAGTGCTTACCTTGGCTCTTTCCCTTATTTTATGTCCCCATTTTTACAGTGTGCAGTCAGAACTGATTGCCAGAATACTGTTGCATGTTCATTGCCATAACATTTAGCAATTGTTCCTTAAATCTTCATACATGTTGTTATTCTATTATTTCATATAACATAATTTGGAAGAATTCATGGTATGTCCATTGAAACTTACTGCAATTTATATGAGAAAGCATTTTGATGAAACAAAGTTCTGAATATGATAATGAGAAGTGCAGATAATTTTCAGTCAAAGCTATACTACTGCAGATTGGTTTCATTGTTTTTCAAATATAGTATATGATTATATAGCACCATTAGTCTTGTCAATATTATAAAGTTTTGAATGGCCAATACATCTCACTACTTGATTGTAGATCTCTTTTTTCACTTTTGATTAATTTTTATCACAATAAACTGAAAAGCAAACAACAACAAGAAAAACTTGCAAAGATAATGAAAAGTGGATTGTTTTATATGTAATAACAATATACTCTTTCTCAAAATTTCTGTAACTTGCTGTCACAATTTTCTGTACTGGACATTTTCAAAATAGTCTGGACAACCATTTGATCGGGATGGTATAAGGTCTCCTGCTTTATCAGGGGTTGGACTAAAAGACCTCTAAGGGCCCTTCCAGTCTTATGATTCTATGTTCTATATACGTTTCAGACACAGTGTGACCAATTTACTGGTAGTTCTTGACTTACAACCTTTTGCTTAATGGCACCTTGAATTAAAAATGGCCTCCCCAAAAAAAGGTCAGTTACAGTCTAAATTTGAACGTACAACTGTCACCCATGCTCCACAGCCATGTCATTGCAATTTGGGCACTTTGCAGACAGCTCACATTTACAACCGGTTGCAGCATCCTGTGGTCATGTGATTATGATTTCTGATAGTTTTGCCATTTCTGGTTTAAAAAAAAAAAACATTCATTAAGCTGGATTTGCACTTACAACCACATGACTTGACTTACAATCATGGTGACACAACTTACAACTGCAGTAAAAATGATCATAAAATTGAAGCTCGCATCATTACTTTGATTTAAAACTGCAACAATTTACAAAGGAAATTCTGATCCCAATTATGTTTGTAAATTGAGGATTGCCTGTATAATTTAGCCATTTAATAAAAATTGCACCCAGTGGATAAGGAAATTCAGACTTATTCATTTCCAGTCAGCTTATTCAATCAACTATGAAATCAGTAGTACTTAATTCAGTCATGTGTAACAAAGGTTTTACTGGTATCAGTGTGTCTGCCCTAAATATGACTAAATTTGGATCCAATCCACAAGATCATAGTTACATGGGAAGTCAGGCATCTTTAGGTTTCAGGCATATAGGAAACCATGTCTTTCTGTAATTCCTTCCAGTTATTATTCTGCATAGTAAATTCAGATGCCATTGTCTATAATTTTTACTGATTAGAGCCAACACATGTAACTTTTTAAAGCAACTAATACATAATTATAANAATTTGGATCCAATCCACAAGATCATAGTTACATGGGAAGTCAGGCATCTTTAGGTTTCAGGCATATAGGAAACCATGTCTTTCTGTAATTCCTTCCAGTTATTATTCTGCATAGTAAATTCAGATGCCATTGTCTATAATTTTTACTGA